CCACCAATGTGCAGCATCCACCTGGATGATGCGACGGCAGCCATAGTGCACCAGAACGCTCACCACACAATGCCAAAGTCGGTTGGGAGCCAGTGTATAGACCCACCATAGGGAAAGAGAGCTTGCATGAAGAGACCAGTGTTAATGGATTTAGGCTCATCAGTTCTGCAATGAGCAAAATAATGACCATAAGAAGCACATTGTTCCCACATAAGTGCATCCACAAGGCGACATGGCGGTTGCCTAATAAAACTACACAGAACCAGATTGACCATGTGGCCAGTCACTTAGAAGCCCATGCTGAGCAAGTCCTTGGAGACTACCAGTGTGGGTTTCGATTTAACCGGTCAATGATGGATCATATATTCACTATCAGATGCATCTTGGAGAAGTGCTTTGAATATAACATTGATGTCCATCAACTATTCATAGATTATAAGCAAGCATATGATAGTGTTGATAGAGCATACTTGTACCAGATACTAGGACAGCTAGCATGGAAGTTGATCAGGCTAGTAAAGATGACCATTACCAAAACAAGTGGTAAGATGAAGGTGCAGAACCAGGAATCGTGCGAGTTTCAGGTGAGACGAGGCCTTAGACAAAAAGATGTGCTCTAGTGTTTACTATTCAACTTGGTTCTAGAATCAGTGATATAGAACATCGATATCAACAGAGGAGGAACATTACTGAATAGATTGAGATAGCATTTAGCCTATGTGGATGTTGTTGATTTGTTGGGTAGGAACGTCCGAATACATAAAGAAAACTTTATTCAGTTGGAAGAAGCATCGTCAAGGGCTGGGCTGACCATCAATATGGCAAAGACCAAATACATGGAGATGACCAGGAAGGACACCATCACCAGCGACACACCGCTAAAAATCCAGGGTTATCAGTTCGAGAATGTCAGTACTTTTAAATACCTGTGTTTGCTAATATCCAAGAAAATGAAATCAGCCTGGAAATTAGAGAAAGAGTCCAGTGCAGGAAATCGATGCTACTTCAGTGTGCAGGACCTGATGAAGACCAGACTTGTCGAGAAGGGCAAAGAACGTGATACAGTATATTGGACTGTTATCTGTCCTGTGGTTACCTACATAGAGGAGACATGGGTGCTGACAAAGTGAGATGTGGAACTCCTTAATACGTGGGAGAGAAAGATCCCCCGAAAGATCTAGGGGCCAGTCCAGGAAGGAGAAGAGTGGATAATAAGAACCAACACCGAGCTCTATGAGCTGTATGAGGATCCTCTAATAACCGCAGAGGTAAGAGCAGCACGACTACACTGGCTTGGACATCTAGAGCGGACAGACGATACCTGAGGGGTACGGAAAGTCTTCTGTCAAAAGCCAGAACGAAGTCGGCTTCATGGGTGTTTCCACAAAAGATGGATGGACGATGTTAAAGAAGACCTCAGGAAATTGAGAGTGAGAAGATGGCGAAGACTGGCTCAGGACCGAGATGCGTGGAGAAGGGTGGTGAAGGTGGCTTGGGCTTTACAAGGGCAGTTGCACCATAAAGTTATGTTATGCTATTATTAATCATTAAACTATTCTACCTAAATATAATGCAACCTGCAGTTAAATCTCTCTCTCTGGACCTCGGATGCCAAAATCTAAATGGAAGCCTATATCCCTATCCATAAAAATGCACCATAAGCAGGAATGATGTTTCTAACTGAAGCATCTTTTACCCAGGAAACCCAAGTTCCCTAAAAACACAGAATAGCAAGCTGTCTCTAACAAGGTTCAAATACTTAGCTCCAATCAGGTTTGATTTGGATGATCATGAAGTAGGGGCTCTCCCCTTGTGCAAGCTTCAAGTCCCAACTACTCAGGACTCTTGTCTCTCCTCTCTTTTCTTCCCTGCCTCTTCTGTCTTCCTTTATTTTTCCTGTGCTCTTAATGCAATCTTATATTGTGTGTTTTTGTATTCATCCCTGACAATCATTAACCAACAACTTACCTAGGTATACTAAGGTAAACATTACAATTGTTTCTGCTTAAGTACAGAAACTACCCTTTTTGCCTGAATGCAAAGCACTTTGCCTGGCACAAACCAAACACAGCTCATCACCTGTGTAACACCTTGAAGAATGGCGGTGACATCATGGGATGCTCTTCTGTAGCAGAGATAGAACTGCTCAAGAACTGGTTAGATCTGCAATGCAGTACCTACAAAGCACTGCAAAGTACCTACAGAAAAGTTAAACTGGCACTAGACTTCTAGTGTCCACAGTATAGCTTTGCTTACACAAAAATAATCTGTACTGGAGAGCTGTCAGAAGGAAACTGTTCCATTCAGGGGTAGGCAAACTCTTTTGGCCCAAGTGCCACATACAATTTTGAAACTGTATAGTAGGCCACTTCAGGCTGCTGTTACAAATAGCCTATGCTCTATATAAGTTTAAAATCCAAAATAGACTTATTAGTTCAAGGTTAATGATAACCTGAGAGAAAAAAATGCAAATTTAATAAAAAATATGTTTTTATTAACTCACAAGCCAAGTCTTCACCGACTACCTTGACCCAACGGGTAACTGTTCTGCATGATAAAGTTATTTTCTCAACTTTGGTCCTGCTCTCTGGAAAGAGAATATATGCAGTTTCTATCATACACTCCTTCAAGAGAACGGCTTTGTTTACCAATTTTAAATGCAAGCAGGTAGCTTGCTTTTGTGCTGACCTTTTGGATGGTAGGAGGCCAGAAAAATACATTTTGCTGAGCCTGTAAACTAGTGGCTAGTTTGGAAGCTCTATTAGCCCGCTCCTCACATGACAGATTGCTAGCATAGTTAGCATGTTTTGTAGAAAAATCCAGACTGAGATTGTTATCTTTGAACACTGCAACCCTTTTCTTACAAATTAAACATATAGCCTTTGTTCCAACCTCTGTGAAAAAGTATTTTGCAGTCCATTCTTTGTTAAACACTCTGCATTCGCTGACAAATTTCTGCTTCTTCAATCCGCTCATTTTGACGCAGGTTCCCTCGGAGTATGATGCACTCACTTGTTGAGAGGGTCTCTGTGAATTTCGTACACACTTTCCTTGCAGAGGATGCAATATTTTACTAAGTGGACTGGTTTGAACTGGAATGGGCACAAGGGCAACTACTGTATATAATTCTACACCATTGTATAGGGATGAGTGCTACGAACCTAAGTAAGGCGAATCAAATTTGTACTGCATTCGTGCACCATCTAGCGGCAAGAATAATGACATGTAAGAAAAAATAGCACCCAAACAAGGTGGAAAATGGCGAATATTGACTAATTTATTTCTGACCTCAAGAGATGGTTAAAACTGGCTGGCTGGCAGGATCCGGCCCGCAGGTTGTAGTTTGCCCAGGGGTGCTATAACCTCTATCACAAAAGTCAACATTTAAATTGTTCAAAACAGCCTTTATAAGCTGGAAAGTTTTTGGAGCAAGTGCTATGGACTAATGAAAAGGAAATTGACTTTAGCCACAACCATAGAAGATACATTTAGAGAAAACAAGCATTTAAAGAAAAGAACACCTTGCTGACTGTTAAGCATGGAGGTGGATCTATTATGCTTTTGGGGTTGAGTAGTATCTAGTGTTACAGGAAATACTCTGCAGCTGGAAAGAAGAATGGATTCAACTAAATGTCAACAAATCCTAGAAGGTAATGTGCCTGAATCTGTGAAGAAATTGAACCAGAAAAGAGGTTGGAAAACTCATTAATGATCCACAAAATACCTCAAAATTAGCCATGAAGTACCTGCAGGAAAGAAAAATTAAAATTTTGGAATGGCCTTCAGAGTCTCCAGACTTAAATATTATTGAAAATCTGTGGGGAAATGGAGACACATTTGGAGGCTATGCTTTTGCCAATGGATGTGTTACGAAGGATTGACTGTCAGGGTGCCCAGACTTTTACATGTGCCATATTCAGTGTTTTATTATTTTTCATATCTATAAAACTGTAAATAAATATTAATTGTGTATTATAATTTGCAGGAAGATGTCATGTTTAAGTTTGTACCACACAACTTCTTTTCACTTAGATATTTACTACAACGTACAATTGGACCGGGGGTATCTACATTTTGCACACAACTGTACTTCCATAAATTAGCTATTTCCATTCTTCATTAAAAAACTGTTTGTAACCCAACAATTTTGGAAATTGTCCCTGTAGTAACTATAGGTTCTGAAGGAACTGTAGTTCTTAAAGGTATTTTATAAAACATCAGAAAATAATAACTTGTCCAATTTCCTTCAGTTTTCTACAACCATCAAAATGACCTGTGCTCTGTTCTTTACTACCCCATACTTTCTTTTAGTCTCACATTATTTATCTTCTGAGGAAATTGGAAAATCAAGCCTCTGATGATGTATTGACCACATCAGCCTTTTCGCTATTGCCGTCCTGGGACAACTTCAGCAAGCTTATAATTTATTTACCTTCGTTCTTTGCTAATTTCACTGTGCATGTTTCCCCCAGTACTTTATCTATATATATCTGGGCAGATATTCAAAGTTCAGTTTCAAGGCTGATTAACAAAACAATGGGAATAGATCATTAAAATTGATTAAGCAACATCTACTGTAACTGGACTTAGCTCCTTACTTAACATATTGATCATTTTATATTTTATATTTTATATTATATTTATATAGATTTCTTCAAAAGGAAGATGTGATGCCTTAAGAAGCAATGTTATATGTTTTTTCCTTCAAAAACTTGTGTAATCTTATCTCTTTACTGACTCAAAGCTTTTCTTTTTTCAAAGTGAGCAGTGTTTGATTTCTTGATTTCCTTTTGACCATGAAAAAATAACTTTTCTGAGTTCAAAATCACCCACTCAGATGATAGTCTCATCTTCACATTTCCTCTTTAAGACCCCATTTCCAACTGAAGCCCCTCATGCCATAGTGAACAGCCTCAAACTTGAAGAGACAACAGGATGATCAGCCAATATATAATCATTTTGCTGTGCTTTGAAGTAGGTAAGTTCTTATATATGATTTACTTTAAAGATAGTTTAGTTTTTTTCTCATGCTTTATTCTATATGAATCCTTCAAGCTTTTTAATTATTTTGCTTTGAAAGAATATGAATGTGTACCAAACATTGTGATCATAAATAAAAGTATATATACTTTCCTCAAAATTACACTGATTTTAATTTTTCCCATAGAATAAATACAGTTCCAAATGTTTGTTTTCTTTTATATTCATAGCAATTTCTCAAGACGATGTTGTCTCTCAGCCTCATCTTACAGTTTCAGTGCAGCTTGGAGAAGAAGTCACTCTGGAGTGCTTTTTCGCCACTGAAAAAGTAGCTCAGCTGTTCTGGTTAAAGAATCCCATTGGAGAGACACCTATATGCATGGCTTCAAGTTCTTATAATCTTGTGGGAACAATGTCTTATGGAGAATTTTTAAACAATGAAAGAATGAAGGTGACAAAGGATGAAGGAAGATTTACTCTCAGTTTCTCCAGTGTTCAGCCATCAGATGAGGCAACATACTACTGCACAGCTTATTTCCTTAACTACATGAGCTTTGGGAATGGAACCTTACTGACTCTCAAGGGTAAACTATAATTTATAATCTAATTTTCAAAAGTTTATTTGAATCTTTCAATCTTCTTAATTTTCACCTTACATATGGGTTGCAATACTACGCATACATGATAGTATAGGGAGGAAGATTAAGTGTGATGTTTTCTTTTGAAAACACTTCACATTTAAATGTCATGTAAAGAACAAAAAAAAGTATGCTATGGTACTTCAATTACGGTGTTTTTCCTTAATTGAAGTTCATTTTGTGGCAATCAGGTTTCATCAGTCACACAAGCAGAATTGTAGTCACACAATTTTTACTAAGTTCTGAAGTTCATTTTAATGTCTGGTGCACATTAACAGCAAAATTTGCTTCAAGGCCATTTGCACTCAACAGGTGTTTTAATCAAATCCAATTTAAAAAAAAACTAAAGAGCAAATAGAGCACTAGTCATCCAAATGTTATATTTTCTGTCTTATTCAAATTCGTGGCTATTTTAACATTTACTGTATATCTTAAAAACAAAGTATCTTCATTCATCAAAAACAATTGCAATGAATGTATGAATACAAGAAAACCCTAGAAGCTGTTTTCAGTGAGAAAACTGTAACTAAAGCTGAAGTTGGGAAGATAAAGAAAAAGGCTTTTAAAAGCTGGCAGCCACTCTAGCTATTACAACCTCTATTAAGAGGGAGTTACAAACACTCTAAGTTAGAAATTATTATAATTAATTGCAGATCTATGATAAATTTGAGTTTGCTCCTACATTCCCTGGTTTTTATTCAGCAAAGCTATTTATTTTAATTGTTTTATCATAATGTAAATAATTATTTATATTCATATTATGAATATCCAAAACTTTGTGGTAAATAAGGTAGAAAGTACCCATACAATTCTTAAACAGTTCTTAAACCCATACAGTTCAATAAACACAAGAAAAGTATTGCAGATCTTATATTAATGTTATTTATTTATATATATTGTAGGATTAGAGGAGTCTATGAACAGGAGTTTTGTGCAGAAGCCTGTGTCTATACAATTCCAAACAGGAGATGATGTAATTCTGCAGTGTACAATACACACTGAGACTTGTGCAGGAGATCACAGTGTTTATTGGTTCAGGCATGGATCAGGAGAATCTCTTCCAGGATTAATTTACACCCATGGAATTAGAAGTGATCAATGTGAGAGGAGATCTGTGGCTAGGCCTCCTACACGGAGCTGTGTCTATATTCTCCCCAAGAAGAACCTCAGCCTCTCTGATGCTGGGACTTACTACTGTGCTGTGGCCATATGTAGGGAGATCCTGTTTGGAAATGGGACACTGCTGGAGATTACAGGTAAATATAATAATTACACCACTGTATTACAGCCATTGTGTTTATCATGGAGATGTTTAATGTTCAATTAATTCTTCAGTAATCTGTTACTACAGTATTTCTTATGTTTCATAAATATTTAATTCTAATTACATACTCAGATGTAGGATTAATCTAAACAGCATTTTACTTTGCTCTTTGGTAATTTCAAAGGTAATCAAGTGTTATGTGCATACATTTAAAAACCTTAAATGTAGCTGTATATTACAAATGTACAGTAGATGTATTCTTTTTAAATATGCTAGAAATATATAATTATCTTAATTGTCTATTCATTGTGTAAGACACCAGTAATATTTCAGAATTTAATGTATACCAAAGAGGCAGAGATAATCTTATGAAATATCTTTCATTTTCATTAATTTTGTAAATATGTAGGGCAGAGTCTCTAGATACTGTATTTCAGGCAGTATTTTTTTTATTCATTTACATGACATTATTACAAATGGCAGGGGATTAATAAAACTAAAGATCTTAATTCACCAGGCTGTGATATTTGATTTTAAAAAGATCAACCTAGTTATTAAGTTGAAACTTGAAATGTGTGACTTCCAAATGACATTTCTAAATGATTTAGAAATAAACAACAGTTATAAAGTATTAACAATAACCAGCCTCTACTGCAGTTAATTTATGTTTGTAAGAAAACCCTATTCTGACCATAGCATGATCTAAAACTCTAGTCCTAACTAAGTCTAGTTATGTTTAATTACTGTTTATAGTATCATTAGTAACATGTTGTTAATATATAGTATATAGACAGTTTTGTCTGATGTCACTGAAGTGAGATCAATTAAGATGGCATACTGTATGCATTCGGTAGTCAGAATTGAATTAAGCACTTCAGAGAAACACTTTTGATGGCAAAGTCAGCATTTTAATAAAGACATTTCTGTTCACTTAAAGTTGGGGAAAAAATCCTGAAAACTGCACAAAAACAGCTATTTTATTTTACACATGCGCTTCCTCAGAACAAACTACAGGGGAATACTACACTTCTTACTGAATTACATTTAAAATAGAAATTAAATTGTGATTTATTTTTTACTTTTTTCCTAGGAACTGATCACCACTGCATATACTTACACACGGTTGTTGCTTTGGTGACAACAAACATTTTTTCAGTGATTTTCATCATGGTGTACATTTACAAGAAAAGACAGTTCTATGAAGGCAAGTTGGTTAGCATGCATTTCAGTCCTTATCAGTTTCTAATGTGTATTGATTTGAATTATTTCAGTTTAAATGTAGATGGGCAGAAAATATCGTGTACATTTTTCCGACATTAAATCTACTTAAATTAGCTTGTGTTTGTAGATTTAAATTCAACAAATATTTATTGTCTGTTATCATTAAATATACTACTCCCCAATTTTCCATTTGTCTGCAAAATAACCAACTGTAGCAGGATACATGGACTAAATTTGTATTCTGCTAATCATCTGTGCACAGTTAATGTACATGTATAACATTTGGATAGACAATTATGATATTTAAGGAAAAAAAGTATAATAAGTAATAATCATTCTCTTTGATTATTGTGGGATGCTACCTTATTAACATCTTAAAAGATTGTGGCTTTTTACTTTCTGAAAACAGTAAATACATCTCTTTACATTTTTTCCACTTTCTATTTTTCTGTTTTTTTTCACTATCAATTTATATCCTATTCTTGAAGGGGGCAAAACACCTATATTTAATCAAGTGGCAGAGAGTACATCAAAAGACCAGGTAAGAACATTATCTATGCCAACAAATCTTGAAAATCTTTAAAGACAACAAAAATAGTAGTGTTTAAAATGGTCATACTTGTAGATGAAATACTATAGAGCTAAGGAAAAGTAATCATAAAATCTAGAATAAATGGAATAATGTCGTTTAGAAACCCAGGTAATAGTCATGAAAACATTTTACAATCTCAACAATGTTTTCTCTATTGCAGGATTCAGACACAGACAAAGTGAATTATGCAGCCTTGAATTTAACTAACAGCAAAACTAAGACTATCAGACAGTGGAGAGAGATGGACACACAGGTTTTGTATGCAGATGTAAAGTGTCAACAATGGGATTAAATGTTGTGAAAATATCAATAAAATGGCCGATATCTAAAGAGTAAACACTTCTGTTTTTTATGAAAGACAAAATCAATAAACATTTTCATTACATTTTATTGTTTCTTAAATGCAAAAGTCGAGATTCAGAACATATAGTTTGCAAAGGAGCATAGTGATTGGTTTGAATATAAATGCCTGGAAAATATAAAAAGGATTAACATGCTTTTTTTATTTCGTCCATAAACTCTTTAAACATGAAAAATTGTTGATTTTCACCCTCAGACAATTTCTCAATAGAAAGTAAGTTTATCTAAATTGTCTAAATTCATCTGCATTCTGAACATAATTACTTTGGATTTTGAAGACAAAATAGTCTTGAACTGGTCTATGAGTATACTTGAACCTTTTAAAAAATATTTTAAACACATTTTATATCATTTAGAAATTAAAAGGGAAGATCATGCAAATGACTTAGTAATAATTTAATCTGGCTTCCTGGCTTAACTCCAATTTGCAATCTTGCTCTTTTTATTAGCAGTAAGTGATGATAAAGACTGTCACAATTTATTGGCACTTAATGTGAGGGATTGACTCTGTTTAATAGAGTCAATTCTAATATAACAAGGGGATCAGCACATAATCACAACCTGCATTAATGAAGATTAAACTGTAGTTACTCTTTTACTTTAACTCCATGTCAAAAAACTTAAAGCAGTGGAAGCTTTTCAGTTAGTCAATTCCGTTAGTTGACCTTGCACCTTTACTGTCTTCCTTCTAATCAGTAAGCTGACACAGAAACAACAGAGGGTTCTACTAAATAAAAAAAGTCTTAACTGGACTTTACTACACCAGAATAGAGCTTAACCTTTATTATAAATATTCCCCAAGATCTCACCATGAGATCTTTCAGGCTCACTGTCCCGAGTGATGGTGAAGGTCTTCTCAGACAAACACAGGGAGTACTGTGTTTTTAGGAGGCTGCCAAACCTAGGTGCAGACAGTTTCTTATTTCCTCATGAGAATGCAGGGAATGTATCCCAAGGACTTTTACAACACCACCCTCTGGAGGTTCAACTCCATTTCCACAGTCCTGACTTGTTCACTACGCTACACTCTGCTAATTTGTAAAGAATCTGATTAAATTTTGAGATGCACAAATCATTAGCTCCACTAAAGAGGTTATTGAATAAAATATCACATGTAAATAAGAGGGTGGCATAGTAGTGTGGTGGTTTCTTGCTACTTTATCACAGCTATTAGGTTTTGTGTTTGAGTCCAGCCTGAAGTGCCTTCTGTGAGGAATTTGTACAATCTCTCTTTAGCTTTATTGGTTTTCACTTGTTCTGTTTTTCTCCCATAGTCCAAAAACATGTCTGTTAACATCTCTGAAATTTGCCCTGTTCTTGAATGTGTGTGTGTGCCCTGCAGTGCACCACTATACTGTCCAAAGTGGTTTTTATCTTGTGTCCATTGTCTTGTCTTGCCTATAGTGGCACAATCTGTTATTGAAATGGATCTTATGATGCAAGTAAAAAGTAAAAATTATCTATCAAGTTGTGTAATTCAAATTATGCTTGTCCATCTCCTGTCATTTTAAATGGAAACACAAATGTTTTTTTTAAAGGAAATCTGGAAAATTTACACTACACCCCTTTTATCCCATTTATAGGGTTTTGTCTACTGTCAGTTTTTACCTGCCAGCAGCCATGTCACCCTGCAACTTACAATTGGCAGCCCACTAAAGCTAAGCAGGTGTGAGCCTGGTCAGTACCTGGATAGGAGACCTCCTGGGAAAAACTAAGGTTGCTGCTGGAAGAGGTGTTAGTGAGGCCAGCAGGGGATGCTTACCCTGCAGTCCATGTGGGTCCTAATGCCCCAGTATAGTGATGGGGACACTATACTGTAAACAAGATCTGTCTTTCGGATGAGATGTAAAACTGAGGTCCTGACTCTCTGTGGTCATTAAAAATCCCAGGGTGTTTCTCAAAAAGAGTAGGGGTGTAACCCTGGCGTCCTGGCCAAATTTCCTATGCCTCCTAATAATCCCCCTATGAATTGGCTACATTACGTTGTTCTTCCCCCTCCCCCCTGGTGCCAGTTGGAGTATTCTCGGTCACATTTAATGGCAACGTCAGCTCAAAGATTTGGTTCAAACCACCAAATGGAGATGGCCTGCTGATGCGGGATTAATGCTAGGATGAGAGAGTGAGAGAGTTTTTACCTGCCTTGTTATAAATTTGGGAATAATCAAAATTCAGAAATTGCTAAATGTTAGAGAATTTAGCAAGCTTTTCACTTTGGGAGGTCTTGCTTCATGTGAGATATAATTCCACAAATTCAAATAAAATAACTGAATAACAAAATCAATACTATTTTGTCTGTGACCACATTATGACTGAGATAAAGAGGCTGCATTGAAAAATATTCTGAATAATCAAATTAAATTTATCACTTATAACCACAAAATATTCAATTTATCCGAAAAATGACAATCATATTGATAGCAAGCATATAGACATTTTCTTCTTCATCGTAGGTTAATTATGCTGTTTTACGTTTGTCATCAAAAGGATTTAATCACTTAATCAACAAGGGGGGGTTCTACTGTTAAAGTCTCAGGCTTGTAGTATTTATGTCCACAGTTCTATAAATAAAAGCTCTACCTCTGTAACACATTCTTTGCACCAGTTTGCAAATGCTATTTTTTGCAATACTGTCACTTTCTTTCAGAGCCATTTATCAGGGAGATCTGCACAATTCCCAGTCTCTAAGGAAGACTTGGATCCATAGCTGGAGAGTCCACCTGAGATGATGTACAGATGTAGCCATTCAAAATGCATGGTAAAACCCCGTCCTGTGGGAAATCATCTGCAGAATACCTCAGTACGTGATTGGCTGGCCAAAATGACTGACAGGTGCATTGGTTGTTTGTGAAACGATTGCTTCATTTAATCTCTTTACTGTGCATGTTCAAATCCACTTAATAGTGAATATTAATATGGAATTTTACAACTAAAGGAAATGTTGGTAGCTGAGCATAAAAATAAGAGGAGCATAACATTTCTGAAAGTCATAAACAATATTAGTATAGGAATATAAATATGAACTACGAACGGAAGTGTGATTGTATACTGTATAAATATACTGTATATACTGATGCAGCCATTCAAAACAAGTG